AGCTAGGTCAAAGATTAGCTCGCCGAGTGTTGCGTCGATGTCCAATCTCCCAGCGAGCCACACCGCATCACCGAGGGCGCAAGAGTCGTTAGTAGCTGCCTTTTGTTTCAAGTTAGGCGGTTTATACATTCTTCAATAATTTTACGGGAGCTATTTTGAGCCTCACGGGAGCGATTCCGGAGGTTTGAAGAGCGATTCGCTCGTCGCTCCCGTGTATTTTTTACCCTGCCTCACTCACCGTGCCGCGACTGTTGCGTAGTTCTCCGGCGCACAGCAGGTAGTGCGACTCGTGGATGAGCGGGTGGATGCGGTGTTCGCTCTCCACTAGCCGGTTGATGACAAACTGGCACTTCTGCTGACCCGCCTCGCGATCCACCTCCCCGATGATGGATTCAATGAGCTTCACCTAAGCGAAAACACTTAGAGATTCACCAGCATGTCAGGGTGCCCTTCAAAACACTAATCATCTGGTGCTAAGGCCACAATTAAAAAAATCTTTGTTTGCCCTCACCCGACCCAGGCTGAAAAGTTTCGGTAGGTAGGTAGGCTTAATTTTTGTTTGTTCGAGGGGGTCTTTTTACAAATTCAGCATGGTGTCTACATACTCGGGTGTGCTTGTATGGAGATACCTTTTATGTTTGTTTGTTTGTTTTGCTTGGTACATATAATGTATTGCCTACAGATTTATATAATGTACAGTGATAAAAAAAAAAAGAATGGGAAAGATCAATAAAAATGTTTGAGTCGGCCCCTTTTTGGCGGGCCGGTCCGGTGAGGGCAAACAAACAATATTTTTATCATGGCCTAAACTGTCCAGTGACGAGTATACCCGGAGGGGATATGTCACCATAAATGAATGTGGTAAACTCTTTTGCAACTGGATTGCCCGAAGAAAGCCACAGCCAGTGTCAGGCAGGTCCCCACACAGAGGGTTGGTATCGTACATGCCATGTGAACGAGTATCTAAGTACAATAGAGGATTAGAGGGAGAGCTCTCACGTGCTGACATCCCAGGCTGTATACATCAGGGTGGGCCGGTAAGTAAGCTAGCTTAATCTAGTAAGCTCAAAAGAAGCGACAGGATATCGAATAGTCAAAAGAAATAGCTGGCAAGTAAATAATCGAATAATGTAATAAAGTAAATAAATAATTAATGAATAAACTAAATAATTCGTAATAAAACGAATTTGGTGGTAAGTAAATAATCAAAGAAAGAATCAGTAGGATAGCAAACAATCGACAAGAGTAACACGACGGTAAAGAATCAAACCAAGTAACACCAACAAAGATGCCCAAAACCTTGAGAGCAGTGAGAGTAAGGCTGAGAGGGTCTATGTCCCCCAGGGTACTATCGGAGAGTACCCTGGGTACGGTTCGATATATCGGAAAGTACCCTGGTACTATCTAATATGCCGGACCGTACCTCGCCTACTCCACTAACGAGTCTAGGGAGTCGCCTACGCCTACTCCCTAACCCTAACCATATCAAATAGTTACCTAGCTCTAGTACTATAGCCCACAGGGACTTGAGGCGAAAAAATAAAAAAGT